GTTTTTACTTTTTTAAATAACTTCAAACATTTAATTTTATATTTTGTTTCAGAATATTTTTTAGAATAATTCAATAAATAAAAATTGAAATTCGTACAAAATATTTTTAAATCATAAGTATTTACAATTTAAGTAAATAAAGTAATAGACCAACACTGGGTGGTGTTCCTCGTACCTTTTCATTCCGCCCACGAAAACTTTAAATACTCATAGCTCATTTACTACTTATACTACTCATCCGAATTTCGACTTAAAAAATATTTTGTTAAAATATGAAATTAAAAAAAATTAAAGAAATTATAATGGTATAAAATATTACAGCATATTAATTTTTAGAATGAATCAAATTTTGTTTCGACTGGAAATTATGCGAAAAAATATTTTCTAAAAATTGATAGATTTTGAAATTTTATTATAAGTGTTGTTTAATAAAATCGTCATTCTGAATAAGTATGTGTATGAGTTGTTTTTGTACAAATATATTTTTTTATTAAAGACTATTACGGGTAGTACTAGATTATTGAGAAATAGTCTAATAATATTTTCATCAATCACAATAATGAGAGAAACATCAAATGTAATAGAAAAAAATGGATTTATTTGTGGAAGAATAGCAGACCACATATAAAATAAAATATTTTTGGTGATATTAAAGCTGATGTAATATTAGATTATAAACGAAAAAAGATTATTAAAATCTGTTTTATGTTCAAAAACGTTAAGACCTATAATATAACATAAAAATATTTTAAATTTAAGAAATATTATAAGTACGTTATTATGTTATGTATAATACATAATAAATTAATTTTGTGTATAAAAAAGTGGTTATTATGTTTATAAAATATAATATTATTTTAAAAGTAAATTTAACATATAAAAGTTAAATTTTAACTGATATTTTACTGAATTATTATAATAATAATTAAAAAATATTTACTTCTGATGAAAAAATAACATACTTAATATAATATATTAAATATATTAAATATTTGTGATTTAATAATGACATATAATATTATATTGCTTAAGAGATGAGATAAAAATATGGTATATTAAAAATAGACTTAAACTTTTTTTATTTACATAAAAAATGAGTTTATATCTTAATAGTATTTAAAAATACAAAGAAGGCTTACAGAAAAACTTTGAAAGTTTGAGAATTAATAGAAAGGTTTTTGATTCCTTTTAAATATACATACTTAAACTCAATTCATAATTAAGTTCAATAAATGTTTTATTGTTATTATGAAGATACAACTTTTTTAATTAACAAAAAAAAAGGGCTTAAACAGAAATTTCTTTGAATTACGTTGGTTTATCTTAAACTTATAAATAGTTTTATTGTACATCAAGAATGATATGGTATTTTAGAGGAATGAATTAAATGGAATTAGTCAACATATATTTTATTACGTAATTATTTATTTTAAAATTATTTATTTAATAGTATAAATTAATAGTATATATTTGCATGCAAGTATTAAATTATTACAATAAATAAACTAAAATAGTTAAATTTATTATAAAACGCTTTGTATATATTTTACGTATAGAATTTTTCTAATAGTTATAGATTTATTTGTAAGCTAGACAATTTAAAAAATCTAAGTTACATGGTATTTTATTGTTTTACGTTCATTATTTATAAAAAGTAAGTGCTAATTTTTTTTACTACTCAGAGTTAATTCATCTATACAGTTGAAGATCGGTTATCTAAAACAGCGATTCTCACGATGTAGTTTGTAACTATATCATTTTATACATTAATTAATGTTTAAGTAATTTTTAACTTTAACTTCTCGCGTGTGAACTTATATTTTTTCTAAATCATTATAACTGATTTATTTGATAAAAGATTTAATCGTTTTAAACTATTGGAATTTGTTAAATTTTAATTTGAATAAAATATTTATTAAAATTATTAAAATCGTGAATAAAATTACAAACATTTTTTTTTACAATATTTATATCAAATTCATAAATCAATATTGATACATAAAATATAAGAGTAACTTAAAGTAAATAAAATAAAATAAAATAAGATGCACGCTATCTTAAAGTGTATCTTTATTGTTGTGAATTGCGATGTAGATGTTTAATGTATTATATTTAATTATATTATATAGCAGGGGTGGCCACAACGAGACTCGCGAGTCGCATGCGGCTCTTAAATTAGTTTCAAAGGCTCTTGAACTAAATTTAGAAAATAAAAAAAATAAATTAATAAATATACAATTTTTTTGAATCGTTAGAAACGTTAGATAGCATTTTTATTGCCATCGATTTCATTATCATTACAGTCGTTATTAGGTATAGATTGGCATGTCGGTGGTGCTTTTAGTATGTGTAGCTAAAAATGTGTCTTCTTTTCATAAACATCGCTTTACAATGCGGCTCGCCTCAAATTAGCTTTATAAATTTGCGGCTCCCAAAGTTAAGAACTAAGTTATTAACTAAGTCTTATTTATTATTTTTTTTTAAATTTATATGTAAACACACAGTTTTATGTATTCTGATTCATGTTATGGTTTTGGGTGTTCGAATGCTTATATATTGTTTATTTATAAATACTAACTAATAAAAACTATATTCTACAGTTTTATTATTATTTTATAAGTAAGGTACCTATGCATATTTAAAAAATTGGAAGTGGTTATGACAAAATGGCCGACAAGGCAATTGGGAAAAAGAATTTTGTACTATGCCATATAAAAAAAAAAGGTTTTTATTTTCTTACTAAAGATTTTCTAAGCGTACGTTTTGTCTGTATTATACCTTAAATTTTTTTTTGTTATTTTAGCCTTTTGACCTTATCAGTTAAAAATTTTTCGGATACTTAATTTTTAATTGCTTAATTTGACTTAATATCTGTTTACCAAACAATTATTCTACAGTGTGAAATTTCTAAGAAATAATGAAAAAAAGTACAAATATAATAAATGTAGAACTATAATCGTTGTATTGTTCACTAAAATTTAAAATTTCATAAAAATGATACGTGTCTAATTTTATTTTTAAATTTAAAATATTTACGTTAGTAGGATAAAATATCTGGGAGATGCATTTTAAATCGTAATAATAGCTTATGCAAGCTAGTGAAATAAAAAAAATAAATTAGGTAATCGATCTCTGTCATCGAATTTAAAATATCCCGAAGCATTAAAATGTTGCACAATTAAAACACATTTTAAAATATATTTTTTAAGCTATACAAAATATATGTTAACAGAATTCATAATTCTTTTGCAACCTTTATTTTAACGGTATAATGCATTTACACTTAATAGATCTATAGCGATACTCACCATTTAATATTAATTGTTAAAAAAACAGCGTCATCCGATAAATAAAAAAACTATACTGTTTTTATAATATTGTAATGCTTTGATGATGAATACTTTTTATGTAACGGTTATCCAGGAAAATTTTCCCGTGACTTTTGTGATTTTGTAAGTCACGGAACACAAATTATATATATTTTGATTTCGAACGTTTTAGGCGTTTGAAACTAATCTCGATGGCTTACACAAAATATCGAGGAGGACGATTTATTGTCGTTTAAAACACGGAGATAGTGTGTTAGTCAAACAATAAAAAATATGAATTGTATTTGAGCCATACAATGTTCTATACAAGTGAACAAATTTAATAGCACTAGTGGGTAAGTACCCATGCAAATGAGACGGATGTTGATAATCAGCAGACAGGACACCTGGGAAGTGGCGACTACATGATGGTTTGCAGTATGTTAATTTTCAACACAATTGCACTCGCTCTTTATTACATAAACAACAAAAGGTATAATGTTCGAACACAAGACTTGAATAATAATTTCATCAAATATCAATTATAATAATTTATCCGAGTACATACATAAACAGTAACGTGAAATTATCGAAATATATCTAGTATATATATATATATATATATATATATATATGTATATATGTATATATTATTATAAGATTTTAAGCGTAAACATAATAAACTTACTAAAAATTTTAAACAAACAAAAAAATTCGGTGTGTTATGTATTATTATATTATAAGGTATTATACAATTTGAATATGTGTTTGTGTATTTTTGCATATTATTATTGTTATACTCGTAATTAGTTATTATTCTTTTTTTCACATTTCAGAAATTATAATAATTTTACTTATTATTAATATAATTATTTTATTTTTTTTTTGATTTTACAATTTATTTTTTCTTAATTAGTAATTATATTACAATACACATTCTATCACAATAATTACAAAGAATTAAAATCTCATAATTTTTCGACGTTTATTAAATACAATTTTACGGCTTTTACAAAGTTTTTATTTATACAAGCAAAATAGCTCAAAACAAAAAAATAATTTAAACACTTTAAGAACATAACTGTACATTTTTTCCTGAACTACTGTTTTACTGTAAAATAATTGAAATTTAGCAGTATGATTTAGTTATGATATTTATAACTAAAATATCTATCCGCTTTATTTTATAAAGATATAAATTGAATATGTCTTCTTAAAAAGTAAATATGCATTTCAAACAACTCGCATGTTAATAGGTACTTTGACGAAGAAAAACTTATCTTTTTGGTTAACTTTTTTTATAATATACTATTTAAAAATGTCTTGATATAATAATAACCATATAATAACTATTATTATTTGTTAAGTTGTGATGTTCATTTCATTTATCATTCAGAAATCAATTTAAATAAAACATAATTAAAAATAGTTTTGATATTTATTATGTTATCAAAATATCATTTATTTTATTTTTTCGTTAGTATTATTTTATAAATATTAGGCGAACATGGTTATTAGATAATTATATTATTTGCTACATCGTACATTTAAAATATCCATGAAAATTAATTTCAAAATAGATTGTAAAAATGTACAGTTAAATATGAAAAATATTTTTAGTTGTTATAAAATATAGTTTAGGATCAATAGATAAGTTAATTTATTTCAATATTGTAAATAGTATTTGTGACTTTTGTTTATGCATATATATTTTAATGTGTATGCATAAGAAATCTGATGCGTATAATTTCTTATTATTGTCCGTAAAGTGCATATTCAGGATATTACATTAAGCTTACTTAAAATTATTAAAAACATATTTTTGTAATAAATTTGCATAATATATTCTTATAAACAAGCATGAGTTGCTGAATATTGTACTCTAACATAGAATGGAAAATAAAAATAATAACGAACTGAAAAATGATCATTGATTGTAAGTATATAATTTTATTACAGTAGTTCAGTGAAAATAAATTAGTACCTATACATACGTATATAAGCGTAATACGTATTGATAAATAGATATCAAAGTGATCACAACGGAAGACATACACTACTCAAAATCAAATAATATTAAATACATTTTCACATAAATTACACGTTGTTTAACATCTTTGATCACGTCGTTGTCAAAAAAATTATGGAAATATCGAAAAATGTTTCTGATATAATATAATTTAAGATAATTACGGTTAAAACTTTTATGTCAAACTCCGAAACGATTTTGTAATTATATATGAAACTGTGAATTTCAATTAAGCGTTTACTGCGCGATCGTAAAAACAAAAATAGATAATGTATAAATAATTATACATTTATATATATATTATATTTATGTCACAATGAATTATATATTACGTAGTTTTTGACGTTCGGGGAATATCGTTTAATGTATTATTATTATTGTTTTTTACTCGGAGTTCGTTTAGTGTGGGCAGAATCGAAAAAGACTAAATTAATAAATAAAATCGGCAAACACAATATTATCATCGTCTCGCAGCATAAGTACAATTGTTACTGTATAATCATATAATAATGTTTATCGACTATCACCGTTACCGGACGGTGCAACTACCGCTTTTGCTATAGGAGGTATGCCGTCTCCGAGCCGGGAGAATAATGTTATCGTTGTCGCGGTCGTGGTAATTGAGTCACTACTAGAGAAACGACTCCGATGCCAATGTTTGTTGATTGGAATCGGTGGTCCGCGTGTCGTCCGGTTTGGTCGGGGACGGATGGTGCGGCACGAGGTTCGGCTCTCCGGGTATCACGCAATAGTGTGTGGAGTGCTGTGGTTCCGGGTCGCCGTACTGCGAGTGGTAAAATTCTTCGCGCATCATGTGGTTCAGCGAGCCACACTTGAAGTATAGTATTTGCTGGAATGGCCTTCGGAAGTCTCGGTTCAGCGTGGCGTAGATCACCTGAATCAATTACCCAACGGGTACGGGGAAAACATTAACATTGAAAACGGTTGATTAGATATTAATAAAAACCGCAACGGGACTTCGGAGTGGTTAAAACCTTCCGGTGAACTGCAAAGGAGAAGGTAGTGAAAAGGGAGAGGAGAGGGTCGCAAGTTGTGGTGTTTAAATGATGATAATATGATATATGCGTGTGTGTAAGCGACGGGATGACATTCAATTATATTGGTAATTGAAGTGGGTACGTTTAGTAAAACAAACTTAGTTTTTGAACAAAGATGGCTAAAATTATATGCAAAAGCTCATGTACTTAAAAAAAAACATAAAAATATACACCAATTATATTTTTTCTTTTACGCGTTTGTGAGGTTTCACATGTAGTAACTATTTACATTTTTAAGTTCGTGTCCATTTTAAATACTCTTTTATTTGTATCTATAATTGATTTAAAATAGTTTTTTAAGATAAAAAATATGGACTATAAAGTATAAATAATAACGTTGGTCACGAGTCCATACTAAAAATCTTTATTTTTAATTTATGAGATGTTTTATATTTCATGCATATTGCACATTACAATTAAAAATAATATTTATGTTGTAATCGTAGAGAATACATTTTTGCAGATCATACTCGTACTAATAATAAGGAATCGATGAGGTTACCACATTTATGCGATTTCCATTACGGATGGCATACTTACGTTTCTGTAGGGGTTTTCTACGCGTATAATAAACACAGACTCGTTAAATAATAGTTTAGATATGTGAGTAATATATCGACTGTCATGTACAAACTATTGAAGCGTACGGGTATAGTAAGAACGGGTTATTATTCCTACGCTATAGATATCTTGTTTTAAACTTTCAATTCAGAAAAAGCATAAGCTATAATATATGTGAAATATTATTCGTATTATAGTATTCCTCGCCACCGATATTTGATATTATTACTTGGGGTTGCGTGTTGGAAATGCGGTAAATACCAGGAATCGTTAAGACTACGGCAATGCCGTTAGTAGAATGGAACGCCAACTAGAAACAGCTATATAGGAAAGGTAGACGTTATAAACGTAGATTGTATATTATTGCAAACAATTTTTGAAACGAGGCTCTACCGTAATTATATGAAATATGGTTGAAACGATGACTGTTAAAATATCAACAGGTCAAAACAATGACGGTCGAAATGTCGACAAGTATAAAATATCGATTACAATTTTGACAGATCAAAAACCTTTATGGAACATAAGAAAAAAAAAAAGTCCTTAATTATAGTAAAACGTGATAAAGTATAAAATTATATTGTTATAACTGTATCAGGAAAACGATCTAATAAAAAGCATATAAAAGTTTACTAAATATTTAAATAATTTAATAACACGTAAATATTGTCAAATCAAAATTTTATATCGTAGTACGCCATTTCACGTAAGAGTAAATCTAGAACCCTTATATTTTACGTTATTGATTATTACATTTTGTGTAGGTATACGTTCCTGTATAAGCTTGTATTTCCCTAAGGTTAGGTCTTGCACAAAAAATCGATTCGAAAATTTTGTTGTTTTTCTACTCGTTTCATAATCGTATATTTTTGATTAGTGATTACAAAAAAATCTTACTCACAAAATTCAAACATTCTCTACGCCTATTCTAAAATCAGTTTTTATCAATAAATCGATAAATTAGTACATTTATAGTCAATCGAGTTATCATGAAAAATACCATTCGGCCAAGTCATCGTATTTTTATCGTCAATCGAACTTCAATAACTTTGAAATATATCGATACCTCGAATTTCGGTCTTGACATAAGTGTTCTCGATAAGTGTTTGTGTGAAATAATATTTGAGGTAAAAAAAAAAAAAAAAAAAATTATAATAAATTATAAAAAACCGATGGCGTTAGTGGATTGGCTGCCGAAATGATGATATTATTGTTTGTAATACTCACGGGGTTCAGTAGCGAGTTGGCGTAGCCCAGCCACAAGAACAGGCTGCTCAGCGAGCTGGGTATGCTGGACGGGTCGCTGAGGAACGGCCTGACCAGCGCCAGCACGAAGAACGGCAACCAGCACACGGTGAACGCGCTCATAATGATACCCAGTGTGGTGGACGCTTTCCGCTCCTTGGCCAGCTGGAACCTGAGCTTCTTGCCGCCGGATTCGGGCTTCTTGGTGGCCGCGGCCGCCGGACGTCCGGCGTTGTGGCCGTTGCTGGGCACTACCATCAGAACCGGACACTGGTACTCGCCCACCGACCGGCGCACCATCGAACAGCACCGGCACCCGTCGCCGCTACGTGCACCGCTCCCTATCGTTCCACTACACTGCATTCGCAATGACAAACATAAAACGTATGTCTGGTAAATAATATTACATAAATCCGTTCAAGTGTCGTGCAGTGACATCGTCAAATATTGTTATTGTTGTTGTTGTTATTATGAGTTGGATTAGGATATGGAACACGGTTGAACAAATGAGAATTGTAGGTTGCATTTAATACTTTGAAAACTAAATTTTCGATATGAGATTGAAAGTTTACCATATTTCTTATAGGAATTTTAGATTTCACTTTGTTTTAAGCATAACATAAAATAAATTGTATTAAAACAAAACGAAAAAAAATAAAAATGAAAATAATATTATACGGGTGCGCTAAATTTCAAAATAAAAAATAAATAAATATAATAAAAATATTGTATTCAATTTATTAATATTATATTAATATCATTGTTTTTACTTTGTGATCCGTTCATATAGCTTTAAGCAAGGAAAAAATGAAACTTTTAAATAAACTTATGACTTCATAAAATCGATTATAAAGCGAATACCGCTTCGAATTTCTAACCACAGTTCAAATTCGGTTAGAAAACTTTTTTTAACGTTTTTATAATATAATGTTTCATATTTAATTTATAATTATTTATGGTTTATACAATCATATAATATGTTTATTAATCACTATATAATTGTTTAACGTGTGATATAAAAATGTTTTTCATCCCCTTTAAACGTGATCGTTAAACGTACTTTAGTTTTAACTGCTTTGCAATGGTCCTCTATAAATATATTAATATCTTTTTTGTAGTAAAAGTAAAAATATATTTATTAGTATATGTACAAACATTTGAAAATATTGATTAAGGTTAATCAATAGCTACATAATGTTGGTGCTGGTTTCATAATATCTGATGAATAGTATAAACATACGAGTATCTAAACATAGGAAAATTAAAAGTGAAAATAAAATTCTTAAATTGTTGTTTAGGTATTATAAATTGTATTTGTATTAAAAAAAATATCATTTTGGTTCTTGATAATTAGAGGGGAAAAGGTCATTTTTTTCCACATTTATGAACCTGTTGACTTTAAAAAATTTACAACAGACTGTTAGATACGTAAAATATATCATAATATAACTCTATTATCTATGTATTATGTTTTATAAAACTGACAAGCTTGGTATCGATTGATAATATTACAATAGGTATTTATAAAGGATGGGAGAAGCATATTATTTTTGTGTATTATTGTACAAATTATTTTTAATAACGTCACAGTTTGGACAAAGTTTGAATTCAACAATATGCAGGGTAAAACTACATCTAAATAAAACACAAATGTTACCCGCTGGCCGCTAAGTTTTAGTTTAGTTTACCAGAGTTTTAGGTTTTTATGTGAGTTTTTTGTACATACGTCTGTATTTTTGCTTTCCAAAATAACTTTAGAAAATGTAGAATATCGAAATACTTAAAGTACCAAATACAGAAATTTATTTCTCCTAGGAGTTTTAAATAAGTTCTATCTTTTTATTTAAAAACACTAAAATAAAAGCACGCCTGCGCAGAATAGTGTTTTTAACATTGTAATTTTTACTTCAATAAGTCAGAAACAACTACAATAGTAAAAAAATAAAAGTAATCAAATGAATAGCCAGAATTTATTACAGGGAATAGTTATTTTTACATACTCGGCAGAATTTGTATTTGGAATCTTAAAATATATATATAGTACTAAAATGTAATCATTTATGGACGTTTTATCTTATATTTTGGATTGTAAATAATACTTGGACACTTTCAATGGAAAATATATTTAAATATTGCAATATTTGTATGTTCTCATATCTTGTATCGAATAAATCATATTTTATGAATGCTCAAACAAACAAAAATGTTAAAAATAAATTGTATAGGTTAAAAGCTTACAACATTAGTTAAACATTTTTATAGTTATTTTAAGAATATATAAATATGTATATATATGTTTCAAATTTGTTTTAACTACCTTAAATTAAATGATTTATTTTATACTCTCGTAGTTATAATAGAAAGGGTGACAGTAGTTTAGTACTTAAAAATAAAAAGTAATGTATATTATATTATTACAATTATTAGGTATCTGTAGTTTTCAATACATACAGCGTAAAATTAATTGCTAAAGAAGCAAATAGTTACACAATTAGTTTTAATAATATCTACTTATTATATGTATTTATCAATGTAAAATACAGATGTTATCGATTAATTTAACAGGTTGCCGAGCAAAAGGACATTAGGTAACCTCTAAAGTTGGATACTTATCAAAATTCAAAGGATCTTTTTTTTTATTATATTGCATTGCCTAATTTGTCATTACACCTAAACTACGTTCCAATTGTTGTTGACAACAAGTTTTGGCAAACCATGTGCTGAAAAGGTAGAGTAGAAAAATTTTTTGGCGAAGTTTAACTAATAAAAACAAGTAAATAAAGTGAAAAATAAATAATAAAATAATTTATTTTTTATTTTTTTTTTGATATCTATATTAATAGAACTGTCTATTTGTTCGAACATATTTTCCAGTAGGTATAATTTTTGTTAATGTCTATAATAACTGATCCGTCAATAAATATAACATTAAACATTAATCGTATTTTAAGAATTCAAATGATATAAATCGCAAAAAATCTACCTACCATTATACATATTGAACTTTAAATAACCGTGGACGTGAAATGCTTTTGATAAAGCATACAAACCCTTGTTCAGTTTGTTGGCCGTGTGAATTCAAAGCACGCGCATAGAGCATAGATGTTGAGTACATTTGTTATTTCAACGTAGTGTTGGGCGTATCCGACGGACAGTTGTCGAAGATGGTGATAAATGATAACAAAATAGGTACACACACAACAACAATACGTGAATAATAAAATATATGATACGTAGACATGTAGTAACAAATTATCGTAAAAATATACTGTCATACGAATATTTTTTCTTTAATTGTATTCCAACAGGCAACTGTTTTGTAACGAAAAAAAATGTTTATATTATTGTTGTTATTATGTGTAAACTATACATAGTTATAAATTAAATTAAAACGACAATGAAAATATTCATAAGTATATACTAGCTGTTTATGCAAATGCAAAGTTAAGTGGACTAATAGTATTAAAAATTGTTTGACGGGTTTACGTTTTGAAGTTAATATTACCGAAACAGTATTATATTTTTCATACAGCATATACAACATATTTTTTAATATTAGGAACAACTTTGATGAAAATAAATTTTATAAATTCCTTTTCATAATATTTCATGGGTGAAAATTTAAAAAAATCAAGTATACATATCTCATAGAAGTAATTTAAAATTCTTAAGTAGTCTAATGATAGGTATTTAACACATAACATAAAAAATTTCAAAATTATATATATATATATATATATATATATAATTTCATACTTTGGCTCATTTCAATTATAAGCGTAATACATTCAAATAGATAGGTATTTAAGTAAAAATCATATTATGATTTTTTTTTTTTAAGTTAAATAAATAGTATTGTTCATTTACAGTAAGTATTTTTATTTATTTTTTTTTTTAAAAGAGTAATATTATTAACTATATTGAATTATTAGATATTTATTATGTTTTTTTTTTTTCTATAGTAGTGAAATATACTGAAGCGTCACTACACCAACAGTTCTAACCATACGTAGGAACTTATTTAATTATTAGATTTTATATTAAATATACTTGTATTTGTGTTAAGCCAATACTTTCATGATAGCTATAGTTTAAAAGTTATAACTGATAAGAACAAACCATGTAAAACTAAAAATTATCCTTTTACTTAAGTATTGATACATTCATTTTTATACAACTAATTCAATATAAAATCATATAAATGTATGTCTATAGTTTAAATTTGATTAAAAATAATATTATCTTTAGCTAAAAAAACAATCTTTAAAGGTAAAAATAGTAAAGAATAAAAATAAAATTTCCAAATAGACTATGTTAAAGTAAAGTTTGTTGGAAAAATTTACTAAAAAAAAAAAAAAAAAAACATTATTCAAATAAAATATATTAGTGATGATATAAAATTGTAGATTTTTAATTAAATTATGTACTATTGTAGTATATATTATAGATACGTTTAATTACATTTTTTTAAATAATTTTAAATAGCTAGGTAATGTCTTAAAATCAATAAAATAAGAACTTCCTTATAAGTTTTTTTTTTTTTTTTTTTTAGTGATGAGATTGAATTCATTTATAGATATAAAAAAGGAATGCTGAGACAGCAATCTTTATCATTTAAAATCAACATAGCTGTGTATTTTCTAATTAATGTTAAAGTTTGAAGTTGAAAACTACATTATATTCATTGCCTTTAAAATAACCTCTGGCTATGAAATATATTATTATTGCAGAGTTGGCTAACTCATTTTCGATTATATAGAATTCGTATTAACATTAAAGAACCAGGTAAAAGTAATTCATCTGTAAATTTATATTATCTATTTTTATTTATTGAAATTGTTAACTATAAAAAAAAATTTTTTTGTGAAATATATTTTTGTATAATGATAGAAAATGTATAACTAATAACTATGTTTTGAAGTTCATTTAGATCGAAATTATCTTTAAACTCTATTTTCTTGGATTCGAAAATAATTATTATTCCTATAAATAATAATTCAGATTTTTTCAATTTAAAATGAAACGGAGAAGAGGTTAAATCATTAAAAAAAACTTCTTATTGGATATAAAGTAACACAGTTTGTGTTTTTGACATGTTTGTTCTTTAAGTATAAGTAACGAAATTTTCAATTTTAAACAACTATATTTTTTTTTAGAAACATTACAAAAAGTATGTTATACTTGTATTAATACGAAATTATAATATACATAATCCCAAACATGAAGCTGCATATAAGAATATATGCATTGTCAATGATTAAAAAAAGATATCCAATAAAAGTTTTAATATATACAAATATGTGCATATAACCAGTGCTTGATTTGAGAAAAAATTAGAGAGGGGGTCATAAAAGTGT